AAAAATCTGTATTGTATAAAGAGAAAAAAAAAAAAAAAAAAGACCTCACTAATGTTTGAAATGTTTCTTTTTTCGTATTACTTGTTCTACATAGTATAAAAAAGGTATGCAGAATCCTTATTGAAAAATGCAATGTATAACTAAATGACTAAATAGTACTGCAACTACTCATTCATTTTATTCAGAAGACTGAAATACTGCTGCTACGTAGATAAAAGACTTTTGGTAAAGCTCATTTACCATTCTCCTCTTCTTCCTCTCTGTCCTCGTCTTCATCATCATCTTCCTTTTCATGTTCAGCCCTGCAGGCGTAGGCCCTCTTCAGGCCGTTAAACAGGAGGATGGCTGCGGGGAGGAGCTGACCTGCGACCTGATTGACAGCCTGTGGCCTCTGATCCAGATCCATTAGAGCACACAGTCCCAACACGGACATCTTTCGGTCGTGGAGCCTGCAAACAACACCAATTGCAATGACTGTGACACTTTTGTCCTGAGAAATGTTTGAGCAAGCAGCTATTTAGATGTCATCCCAGAAAATGGTATGAAGTGTATACCCGAGGAAGCAGTCGATGTCTTTGAGCCACTGGGAGATGAAGTGGTTGGTAATGGGCTCGGTGTTGTTGGGGAAGCGCAGATTCTCCAGTGTGTTGAGGAGCAGAGGAGGACTGTAATAGAGCGCAGCGATGGCCACCTGCAGACACATGGTCCTCAACTCGCTGGTCTTCACTTCACGCGTCAAACGCTCCAAAGCGGTTGTTACAAACAAGGGCACCACCTGCAGGAACAAGCACCAAGATTAACTTTTTCATTACATTTCATTATTGACGTTATCTTTTCATAATACAGTGGTTAAAACCCAGAAACTTAATTAGCATTCAAAAGACCTCACTAATGTTTGAAATGTTTCTTTTTTCGTATTATTTGTTCTACATAGTATAAAAAAGGTATGCAGAATCCATATTGAAAAATGCAATGTATAACTAAATGACTAAATATTACTGCAACTACTCATTCATTTTATTCAGAAGACTGAAATACTGCTGCTACGTAGATAAAAGACTTTTGGTAAGCTCATTTACCATTCTCCTCTTCCTCCTCTCCGTCCTCGTCTTCATCATCATCTTCCTTTTCATGTTCAGCCCTGCAGGCGTAGGCCCTCTTCAGGCCGTTAAACAGGAGGATGGCTGCGGGGAGGAGCTGACCTGCGACCTGATTGACAGCCTGTGGCCTCTGATCCAGATCCATTAGAGCACACAGTCCCAACACGGACATCTTTCGGTCGTGGAGCCTGCAAACAACACCAATTGCAATGACTGTGACACTTTTGTCCTGAGAAATGTTTGAGCAAGCAGCTATTTAGATGTCATCCCAGAAAATGGTATGAAGTGTATACCCGAGGAAGCAGTCGATGTCTTTGAGCCACTGGGAGATGAAGTGGTTGGTAATGGGCTCGGTGTTGTTGGGGAACCGCAGATTCTCCAGTGTGTTGAGGAGCAGAGGAGGACTGTAATAGAGCGCAGCGATGGCCACCTGCAGACACATGGTCCTCAACTCGCTGGTCTTCACTTCACGCGTCAAACGCTCCAAAGCGGTTGTTACAAACAAGGGCACCACCTGCAGGAACAAGCACCAAGATTAACTTTTTCATTACATTTCATTATTGCCGTAATCTTTTCATAATACAGTGGTTAAAACCCAGAAACTTAATTAGCATTCAAACACTTCCAATTCCATTATCATGAAGTCAGTGGTTTTTTTGAATAGGTTTTTGGTTAAATGTCTGAAATATGGTCTGTGGTGAACACAATATAACATGGACAAAGTTCAGGGAACACACCTGGTCAATACCACGACCTTTGCACTGTAGAATGATAACCTCCAACAGCTTGGCCCCATGGCATTCTGGGTCCTCCCCTGGGTCTCCTGACAAAATCTGATTGGGCACACAGTCTTATTAATACAAAGTCATATTGCCTCAGTTTCTTCAAGTCAAAGGAAGTTAGAAATGTACAATGTACTTACTAGAGCCATCTTTCGGTCGTGGAGCCTGCAAACAACACCAATTGCAATGACTGTGACACTTTTGTCCTGAGAAATGTTTGAGCAAGCAGCTATTTAGATGTCATCCCAGAAAATGGTATGAAGTGTATACCCGAGGAAGCAGTCAATGTCTTTGAGCCACTGGGAGATGAAGTGGTTGGTAATGGGCTCGGTGTTGTTGGGGAACCGCAGATTCTCCAGTGTGTTGAGGAGCAGAGGAGGACTGTAATAGAGCGCAGCGATGGCCACCTGCAGACACATGGTCCTCAACTCGCTGGTCTTCACTTCACGCGTCAAACGCTCCAAAGCGGTTGTTACAAACAAGGGCACCACCTGCAGGAACAAGCACCAAGATTAACTTTTTCATTACATTTCATTATTGCCGTAATCTTTTCATAATACAGTGGTTAAAACCCAGAAACTTAATTAGCATTCAAACACTTCCAATTCCATTATCATGAAGTCAGTGGTTTTTTTGAATAGGTTTTTGGTTAAATGTCTGAAATATGGTCTGTGGTGAACACAATATAACATGGACAAAGTTCAGGGAACACACCTGGTCAATACCACGACCTTTGCACTGTAGAATGATAACCTCCAACAGCTTGGCCCCATGGCATTCTGGGTCCTCCCCTGGGTCTCCTGACAAAATCTGATTGGGCACACAGTCTTATTAATACAAAGTCATATTGCCTCAGTTTCTTCAAGTCAAAGGAAGTTAGAAATGTACAATGTACTTACTAGAGTAACAAGGTACTAACCCTGAAGAGAACCCTAAACCTAACCTTAACCCATATTAAGTAGTGACCTTTTATTACGCAGTACTTTCTTTGTACATACACTTCAAAAAAAAAAAAAAAAAGGGTTACACTTTATTTTAAGCTGTCCTTATTACTTATTAAATGTGTAATTACAGTGTAACATTAATTAACTACATGTACTTACTATATGGTTAGGGTTAGGATTAGGGTCTGGTTTAGGGTTACTTGCATGTAATTATGCATAATTAATTGTCATTATAATA